TATGCTGGTGTGTGTGTGTGTGTGTGTGTGTGTGTGTGTGTGTGTGTGTGTGTGTGTTTGCAGGGGTGGGGGGAGGCAATTCCTTCCCTCTACCATGCAGTTCCCGGGTACACTCAGGAGGTTTTCAGGTTTGGAGGCAAGTGTCTTTGTCTACGGTCTTACTTTTCTTATTCCTTGACAAAGCACCATGACCAAGCTAACTTATAAAAGAAAGGTTTAATATGGGGCTCATGGTTCCAGAGGGTAGTAGAGTCCATGGCATCATGGTGGGCAGCAGGCATGACAGTAGCTGAGAGCTTACATCTGAGCCACAACATAAAGCAGAGAAAAGGGCTGGGCCTGGCATGAAATTTTGAAACTTCAAAGCCTACCGCAGTGGCAAAACACTTATACACATAAAATAAAATAAATCTTCTTTTAAGAAGGTGGTGAAAAAGAAGAAAAACAAGGTCTATCAGAATTTGACGGATTGTAACATGTACCTTATTTTAAATGCTTAGAAAATACCCCAAAAATATACTGGAAAAAGACAGCTAATTATTTTCTTTCTTTAAGTGTTTTTATTAGGAGTTCATGTGTGTGTGCATGGATGAATGCAGGTGTCTCTGTACCTAAAATCCTCTGGAGCTGGATTACAGATGGCAATGAGCCACCTGATGTGGGTGCTGAAAACCGAACTCAGGTCCTTTGGAAAAGTACCCTTGACTTCTGAGCCATCTCTCCAGCCCCAATTATTTTCATTATTAATAATTTTTTATTACTAGTATTTGTTGGTTGGTCTTTTTCAATGAGCTATGATTATCCAAACTAGCATCAGGTAAAGGTATTATCAGCATATCTAGCCTTAAGTTCTCTCTAGAGTTTACTCTTAAAAGCTGTGGGCCAGGGAAGTTTAGCTCCCAGGATTTGCTTCTAAAATAAATTACATCTTCCCTATGTTGTATAATTATTTTCTCTTAGAAACTTTTTTAGTAAGCTGTCCACATTAAGCAGTAATCTTGAGGTTCTATTCTAGTAGGGATTATGTCACCTTTATTGTTCTTGAGAGATTTAACCGCATTTCTTTTTCCTTGTCACAGGAAAAGGAGACCATTGCCAAGTGCATTTCAGATCTAAAGCTGCTTGCTAAGAAGGCTCAAGCTCAGCCAGTTATGTGAAAGTAGCTATCTCAGTTGAGATGGCCAGAGAGAAATGGGAAGTAGTCTGTGTGAAGAACTCTTCCTGTATTGCTGTCTATTGAAATCACAGTGTACCTTTCCTGAGAAATGATCGAGATTCATTTATTTAGTGACTTAACCCTATTGGCCAGTCAGGTATTTCTGATCCTTGTTGAGTATCTGGAGTTGACTGAAGATCACTCTTGAATAAGTAACTTGCAGTAACTTGCTGCCCGACTAAAATTACCACGTTATAGTTTAAACTTGTAATTAGTTATACCATCTTGCAATAAAATGACATTTGAAACAGAATTTTTAAGTTTCATACTTTGAAGTAGCACTTCTATTCTGAGTAAGAATTATATGATAAAAAATGTCCTGGGTAAAGGATTCTTGCCGTGTGTTCATGAGGACCTGACTTTAAATGCCCAGACCCATGTAAAAGCTGTGTGTGATAACACCCATCTGTAATCCTGGCGCTCCTTTGAAGAAGGTGAGAGGCAGAGACAGAAGAATCCCCAGAAGGCTTGTGAACCAGGATGGTATACACAGCAGCAAAAGATGCAAGATTGCCTTCTTACCTCCACACATGTACATACAAACTGACATGTACATACATATATGTTAAAATTTTTTAAAGATGTCATTGAACTAATTAGTATCTTGCTTATGAGCTGTTTCAGGAGAGAGCATAGTACTGAATTAAAGAACCACAAAAGAATACCAGTATTCAAAGAGGTTGATCAGGAATGGCAGGAAAAAAAAAACTGGCTGGTAGGCACATGAATATGGCTTGGATTTAATTTTACTCAGGGACTTATGGGTGTCCTGTAATGAATTACAGTGGTATCTGGAGAAATACATCTTATGCAGAGTTTCCTTAATCAACTTCACTATCTGCCTACTTTTCCTAATTACTATGGTTACTCCAAATCCCATCCTTAGAATTGTACTGCATGTTCTATCTTGATAGTACCCGGGCCACAATTTCTATTACATGTATACAAATGGCTTCCTTGTAATCAGGTGGCCAGTGTACAAAATTTCCCCAAATTCATGCAGATAAACATGGAAGAATTTGGCTTTTGCCTAGAGAATCTTGCATAGGTTTGGATGACTCCTCCCAGAGAAACTGTCCTCCACATAGAGAACTCAGATCTACTTTTAGACCTGTGTCAGTCTTACTAGCTCATCACAGCCTCCATAAGAGCCCTTAACGCAGACTGTAGGAGGCCATTGTGAAAGAAGACCAGAGTAGCGAGGGATTAGGAGAAAAACCTATCTGAATGCTAGACTTCTGTAGGAGAGGAAAAAATAAACACAGATGCTTTCTAATGGTAACTTTCTCTTTACCTTAAATAAATCTGAGACTCTGTCTTCACGTTGCAGATTAGTTTTTACTGCTCCCTACATAGTCCCTGTTATCGCTCTGCCCAGTTCTCAGCCAAAATCTCAACAATTATATGTTGAGATTTCAACCCATTCTCACAACACCAGTTCCATAGTTTCTCTTCGGCTAGGAAGGTCACTTTGACCGGCCAGGGTGCAATCAACCATACTGTGGTTTCCTACCATTCCTTTTGCCTGCATCTTTACTAATTGAGCCCTGCTCATTTCCGTATCTCTCCAATCACAGTTTTTATATGATGTGGTGTAACCTTCCTTAAAAACTGTATGTTCATATTGTATCCCAATCAAAACTCTTCCATGCAGGAGGGAGGGCCTTGTAATTGTCCACCCCAGCTGGGGAGCTATTGATACTGATAGCCTCCGGGGAAGGAAGAGTCAATCTTCTTTAAGGGTGTAGCCCCTAGGACGCTGACCATGCTCCAGTGGACTGCCCCACACCCATGAGAATATGAGTAACACAAATAAGACTAGATGAATTATTTTTTTAATAAAGGACATAAAGTTGGGAAGGAGTGGGTTAGAGTTAAGAGCAGTGATCAAAAAATTGTTATGTATGTAATTCTCAGCAAAAATGTTTTTTTTTTTTTTTTTTTTGGATTTTTTTGAGACTGGGTTTCTCCGTAGCTTTTTGGTTCCTGTCCTGGAACTAGCTCTTGTAGACCAGGCTGGCCTCGAACTCACAGAGATCCACCTGCCTCACCGCCCGCCACAAAAATGTATTTTAAAACTCTTCACTGAAGAATCTCAGTAGAAGAATCTCAAATGATAGAGAAATATTCTAATAAATGTTTAACATCCTAAGTCATCAGGTAAATACAAATAAAAAAACTCTAAAATTCTAAAAAAAAAAAAAAACCTCTTAGGCTGCAGAAATGTCTCAGCACTTAAGAGCACTGACTACTCTTTCTGGGGATGCAGGTTCAATTCCCAACACCCATATGGGAGCTCACAGTTGTTCATAACTCCAGTTCCAGGAGATCTCCACAGGCACCAGCTATGCATGTGGTACACAGACATCTATGCAGGCAAAACTTCCACATAAAAAAATTTTAATCTTCCACACATTTTTATTTTATAAACTCTAAATGCAGTCACATAGCACATACTAGCTAACATTAATAACATATGTTATAGTCCCATAGATTTTAAAGAGTCTGAAAATTATTGGCATCTAGTGACGTCTATGGTAATGTCATACTTCAGACCATTACTTACATGTTGGCAGTGATGCCAGTGTAAACAAACCTACTGCAAAAATACAGCACATACATCTGACACAATGCCCAAGACTTGAAGGTGATAAAGCACTTTACAATACTGTAGCTTTGACCACCATTTCAGACTGTACTACATAGGAAGTTTACGCTGAAATAGTATGCTGTCTTTATGCTGGTAGCAACTCCATTTATGTTTGTCAAATCTGCCCCCTCTGAGAAAAGGTCTGGCTATATAGCCCAGGCCTTAAGCTTGTAGATCTTCCTTTCTCAGCCTCCTGAGTACAGGATTCATAGATCCCTCCCCACACCCGGCTTATCTACTCTCTTGATTACATCTGGAGGCCATACTGAGTGACTGATGCGCCATCTTGAGTTTGTATGAGCCTAGGGTTTGTATGAGTACAGTCTCATCTTCACACAATGAACCCTGATAGCTGCATAGTTGCTGGATTCTAAAGACCTCCATACTCTCCTGGCTCGAGCCTGTCTGCATTTAGTGTCTCCCTCAAATGCTGCCTAACCCCAGCCACCAATCCTTAGGTGGTCTACGGCATCTCTAAATGAGTGGATTTAGTCATTTTATTAATAAATGCTTCTAAATAAATGAATCTTCTTTGCCCCTCAAAAGGGGTGTCAATGCTCTGAACACACTTGAGTTCTCAGCCTGTTGTTTAATTTAGACATTTGACTCTTCATTTTTCTATGTCAGCGTCCTCTCCTTAATCAGACCTGATGCAAATTTGGAAGTCCTTGATGATGGTGATGATGTCATTCATGCTGGTGTCAGTAGCTTCAGGGAGGTTAAGCAATAAAACCTTTCTCTAGAAGTGAACTTTCCTCTCCGGTATGGCATTTGTGTGTGAAAATGTATGCCAGCAACTGTCATGGTTATGGGGCCTTTACAAATATGAAACTGGGGTGGGGGTGTGGCTTGGCCAGCATGCTTGAAGGTCTGAGTTTAATCCCAGCACCACATAAACCAGGCATGTGTATGTGCTGTAATCCTCGCATGCAGGAGGTGGAGGCATGGGGATCAAAAGGTCATTGTCATCCATACCAGTTTAAGGCCAGCCTAGCCTCTGTGAGAAGAGACCCATTCTAAATACAGAGAAGCCAGGGAATGGGGAAAAAAAAAATGGCATTGGTTTCAAAGAGGAAGTCTGTGGCTTGGACTTAAACATATCTTTGCGACACAGCTAGATGTTGACAGTGGCAGTGGAAGCAAACCCCGTTTCACCATTTCTGAAAAAGACGACAAGGAAGAGAAGCAAGTTTCGTCTTCGACAACTGCATCTTTTGACTGAAATTTTTCTGGAAAGGTAAATCCAAGGTCCTTCTAATCCATACTAAGTAATGTCTCATCAAAGGACATTTTAATTTTTACTTGGTGGTTTCTGGTTTCTTATTTGGTGGGTGAAGGATTGCATTTGAATGACTGTGGCACAGGTCTTGTAGGTAAGTCTCATAAATCTCTTGTGCCAGATCAGACTGCAAACACCATTGTTTCTGGCTCCACTTCCTGCTTCTGTCACATGTTTGGATTACCATTATTTTCTTATGAAATAAAAAAAAATATTTGTGGTGTGTGTGTGTGTGTGTGTGTGTGTGTGTGTGTACATGTCAAGGACAATTTTAAGGTCAGTTCTTTCCTTTCACCTTTACATGGGATCCAAGAATTTAACTCAGGTTTCTAGAGCTGTGGGGTATGAGCCTTTACCTGTTGAGCCATCTCGCTGGCCCTTATGTTGGTAGGTTTTTTGGTTGTTGCTTTTGTTCTGAGGCAGGGTCTCACTATGTAGCCCTGCCTGGCCTAGAACTCAGGCTGTCCTTGAACTCCAAGAGATCCTCCTGCCTCTGCCAAATGCTGGGATTAAAAATGTGAGTCAACCATGCCAGACTTGTTTTAGATTTTGGGGACAACCTGTGTAATCCACGCTAGCCTTGACCTCCTGGCGAGTCTCCTGCCTCAGTTAGGCAGTCTCCCAAGTGCTGGGATTACAAGTGTGTACTACCACCTCTGGGTGTATTATTGGTTTTTGCCTCCTGGATTTGTAAGTAGCTGTTTCTCTGTGGTGCTGTAAGATGATCTCGTCTGCAGGGTAGAGTGGCCTCAGTTGTTTTTATGTGATACTATTTATTTGGATTCCCCGTTCGAATAGAGCCACTGCTGCGAAAGCAGAAAGTCATGAGTAGCTCTAAATGTAAGATGTAGTGGAAACCCCCATTCCTCCGGAAGAAAACATTTCAACTATTTAAATATATATTTATAGAAATTACAAATATATATTATAATAAAATACAAGATGTGCTAATATTTTATGATGTTCTTGAAATGAATACTATTTACTTGTTTTGTTTTTATTTTATTTTGAGACATGATCTAGCCCTGACTGTCCTAGAACTCACTAGGTAGACCAGGCTGACCTCGAACTCACAGACATCCCTTTGCCTCTGCTTTCCCAAGTGCTGGGATTAAAAGCGTGTACCACCTCACACGACCGACATAAATTTCAAAAAGAACCGACGATTGATAGAAAACTCATGATCCCTGCTGATTCTGCATGGACTATGGTCTTTCTGTTTTCATAGTGCAGACTTCTCCCCAAATTTTCCTGTCAGTATTTTTTTTTTTTTGATCTGACAGTGGCAGATCTGAAAGTGCTTGCTGAGTGACCAGATGCGTTAAAGCGCTGCCTTGCTACTGTTTTAATGACACTTGGGGACAGAAAACCGAGTTTGTTTCCCAGATCCCATGTAAAGGTGAAAGGAAAGGACTGACCTGAAAGTTTTCCTTGACAAGTACCCACCCCTCACACACACCCCACAAAAGTCTCCCCTGTCTAAGGATTGGGAACAATCACTTATGAGAGCTGATGGCTTAAAACATGTGAACCGTTTATGACATTTTCTGTCTAAATAAATCACCTTTAAATTCATCAGAAATTGTAGAGACCCCATTTTTTTGTCACAGGTTTGCCTAAATACTAATTAAAATTGGGGTCACCAAAAAATAACCAGGGTTGTAGCCAAAATTTTATACATAAAGGCACCAGTCTCATTGTCGGTTATTAACGCAGCGGAAAACGTTTGTGTAAGCTGGGAACTGGTTAAGAACGTCCATCTGTGCCCAATAACATGCCAGCACACAAGTCTGCTGCCAGAGTTTCAGTTCTTTCTGGTCAACCCTGATTTGAAAACACGAACGGGAAATTCCCATAAATAACAACTATGTTTTAAATAGCTTTTACCATGGTATATTGCTGTGATTACCGTGTTTTATTTTAGTTTTGGAGCCAATTCCTCTCTGTAATACTTTTCTAAAGGAAACTTCTCAGGTATGGCACGGGTACTGACTGGTTGGTTCTGTGCGTCAACTTAGCACAAGCTAGAGTCATCATCATAGAGGAAGGAGCCTCACTTGAGGAAATGCCTTCATGAGATCCAGCTGTAAGGCCTTTTCTCATCTAGTGATCAATGGGGGAGGGTCCAGCCCACGGTGGGTGGTGTCATCTCTGGGCTGACCGAGCAAGGCCATGGAAGTAAGCCAGTAAGCAGCACCCCTCTATGGCCTCTGCATCAGCTCCTGTCTCCAGGTTCCTGCCCTGCTTGATTTTCTGTCCTGACTTCATCACTAATGATGAAGAGTAAGGCGGCAGTGTAAGCCAAAGAAATCCTTTCCTCTCCAGCTTCGTTAGTAACAGTCACGAAGACAGCATGTATAAGAAAAAGCATGGTCTAGGCTGTCCAGGTTTGGGAACTGTCTTCGGTCTTTGACACCTGTGCAACATCTTGCAAAGTATCTCTCACAAACACGGTGGTGAAGTACTGCAGCAGAAAGGACAGTCACCCTTCAACTGTTCTGTGAGGGTTTTAGAAATGTGTAAGCATGAACATAAAACGTTGAACAAAATCCAGATCTAGCCTTATACGGGAAGCAGTGTTTCAGGCGGCTTTAATAAAGCGCATGGCGTGGCTAAAAGGCATCCACTCAGCTAGCAATGTGCGCTAGGGATCCAGGAGATACTTCTTTCCTGCCCTTAGATGCTCTATCGTTTCTGCGTTTTGCCTAGCTGTGATGCTATGCACCCCGTGCTTGTCTGGTGCCCACAGAGGTCAGGAGAGGGCATCTGCTCCCCGGGAATTAGAGTCACAGATGGTTGTGAGCTGCCATGTGAGTGTTGGGGATCATACCTGGGTCCTCTGAAAGAGCAGCAGCCAATGGTCTTAACCACCGAGCCATCTCTCCAGTCTCATCTTTGCATTCATTTTAATAATACCTAGAGTCTTTTTAGTGAGATGCACACGTGTCTGAAAAGCCACCATGTATCTCAGATTAAAGAAGTGCCGTATGTCATTCTGTGTAACAATGGAGGAGTCAAAGCCACACAGTGGTAGTGGGTTGGTGCCCCCCCCCCAAAGTTCTGGATGTTGTTTTGTATTTTTTGAGTGATAGATTGATTGGTTGGTTGACAAACTGATTGAATGAATGAATGAATGAATGAATGAATGACGTTGGGTCTTATATAACCTAACAGCTAGGAGTCTTCTTGGTTTTATTTATTTGTTTGTTTGTTTTATTTTTATGTATGGGCATGCAGTATTGGTGCAGGCCAGAAGATGGTATCAGATCCCTTGGGACTGGAGTTGTAGATGTGACCTGAATCCTTGTCCTCTAGAAGAACACTAAATACTCGTAGTCACTGATCCATCATCTCTCTGGCTCCTTAGTTTTGTTTGTTTGTTTGTTTGCAATAGGGTCTCAAATGTTGCCTGGGCTAACTTAGAAATTTGCTGCTTAGTAAAGGTTGACCGTGAACTCCTGACCCTCATCCTACCACCTCCCCGGTGCTGGGATTAGAGACATAGCCCACTACACCCAGGAGCTGCATATCCCTAAAAGCAATGCTAGGCTGAAGGGTTCTGATCTAACTTCTCTGGTCCCTGAACATATCCAGGTGAACAAAGCACCTAAGATGCCCCCCTTGCACCTCCGTGGTAGGATTAGCCCACTCTGAGCTACACCCCAGGGAATGCGCCGCCATGCTCAGATTCCATACCAAACTAAACAGTACCTGTTTTATTCTCAGGAGAAGACAGCATGGGAGCTTCCTCCTCTACATCTAAACCCAAAACCAGTGAGTCCGGGACAGAAGTCACCGCTTCCCTTGGCACTTACAAAAGAAGGAATTTGTTGAAAACTCCACAGGGGGACAGTGTTCGCTAGAGCATTTCTGAGTTAGCCTTCAAGTTTATCATAATGCAGAAATCAGTGCCCCCAAGGAATAGAAAAAGGAACCAGAAAGATCTTACTGGCTCTCCAAACTGAGTAGATCAGCTGGTAGTTTAAGAAAATCTAGTTCATGTTTCTTCTTGTTCTCCTCCCTGTGGGTTAGGCACTAAAAAAGACACAGACAGACACACGCACGCATGTACACACACACCACACACACGGTTGGGGGAGATGTCAGGAGAAGTTTGGGGAGTGTGTACTGAGGTCAAAGGATCCACATCTCCCCAGGGCTTCCCACTAGGCCTTAGGGAAACGCGGTATGTTATTTGTTTGCGTAAGGGACACAGGGCTTTGGATACTAGCCCTTGCTTCTTTAGTTCCTATACCATTTCATTCTAACTCTTCACCTCATCTTAAAGGTCAGTCAGTTGGGGTGTAGCTCAGTGGTGGAGGGCTTGCCCTGGTATGCAGAAGGCCCTGGGTTCACTTGCCCAGCTCTGGCAAAAAAAGACACACTGTCCTCCCCTCTACGGAGCGGTAGCTCACTTGTAAGTCCCCAAGGGTTGTGGAGGTACTTGGGGTCTTATCCAGGAGTGGATGGCAGGAGAAGGGGCAGGGATACTGATCCCCCCAAACTGATCCCTCTCATGTTCTCTGCAGGCACAGTCTCCACGACAACCCCAGTGACCAGCTCTGCGCCCTCTTCTTGCTCCAACCCCAAGTAAAGGAACACATTTATCCAAGTCATGCGGCACTGGTTTTTTTGTTGACTATTTTGTCTTGGGGTCTTATGAAGGGCAGTCTGGGTGTGAAAAGAGAGAGGCCAGGAACAGTGAAAGAACTCAGTGTTTGATCTTAGGAGTATATAGTTCTGCTGCTTTGAGTGTGGGGGAGGAGAGAGATTGGGCACATCTCACAATGTAGCCCAGGTTTGTTTTTCTGGCTTCCATTTGCCACAATCTTCCTGCCTCAGCTTCCCAAGTGCTGGTTTCTATGTGGTATGAACTCAGCATTGCCCAAGATTGGAGAGATCACGAGTCCCCAGAATGACACAGTGCTGAGGTGTGGAGTCTTGAGGGTAGGACTGGGAGAATCTCAGATGCCCCTGGGTGGGAGAAAGTCCATCAGCCCATGAGAGAGCCTAAGCAAGACAGTTATGCCTGGTTGCCAGGAAAGGCTCCGAGAGGCCCCTGCCAGCAGTTCATCTGCTCCCTCTCTTTGCCAAAACAGAAAGGAACATTTGATCTTGGCCTTTTTTGCTGGGGTTCTGCTGACACTGCTACTCATGGCCCTTATCTTCTTCGTCATCAAGAGCTGCAGAAGAAGTGAGTGGTCTCTGGGAGAGGAGCCTTCTCTCGCTGCCCCCGTGAACAGCATGAGCAATGAGTGAGGGGGGAGTGATGGAGAGAAGGCCTGCTCAGCCCAGCCTCCCCGCAGGTCCACGTTGAGGCCCTCCCTGCTCTTCCTGGCTTCTCTTCCCCTATACCCCTACCTACTAGCCTTCACCCAAGGTTGAAGGGAAAGGCTCCCCGCTGCTCTAGACCCCCACGGTGAGAGTATAACCCTCTTCTTCCTGGCCTCTGCTGCAGGTAACTCCAGCACCCAGGCCCAGGACTCTCTCTCAGAGCCTCCCATCAAGGTAAGACCATGCGGTTGTTTTACGGCTGCAAGAGGGGAGTGGAGAGTGATGAAGGTGGCGTGAAATTTATTTGGGGGGAGTTGGTTTATTCTGTGTCATCTACATACTGGGTTACGGGCTGGGATATTGGTGTCACTTTCTGGACTCTGGGCAAGTGACTCTTTTCTGGGTTCTTCTTTGGTTCCCCAGTTATCGAGGCTTTCGGGACACCTTCAAAGGAACAGCTTTTACTGCAAATTCACTATTCCTCCTCTTTCTCCTCAGAAGCTTTCATCCACATCGAAGGAGTCGCTTACCTATGCCAGCATGACTTTCAAGCCCTCGGGAGAAAGCAGCAATGGCTTGACTGGAAACGGCTCCACAGGCTTGGACCCCACTGTCTACTCTGAGATTAAAGTAGCAGACCCATCCCTGCCTCTCCAATGAGGCCGAACTCAGGACCTCAGCTCAGCTCCAGCTACGTACTGCTTTCTAGCTTTGTCCTGTGTGTTTGCTTTGGTTGTTTGTTTCCTAACTTAGGAGCCCAGCCTATGGACAGCTGCAGTCAGAGGCATCCAGACTTGTTCTGGCAGCACTGTCTTCTGCGCGGGAAACCACTGGTTACTTATGTTCTGGCAGCACTGTCTTCTGCGCAGGAAACCACTGGTTACTTACTTTCCCCGCCAGACAAGAGGCTGCAGATCCTTTTACTCTGACGGGCAGCAACAGCTCCTTGAGCAACTCCCCTGCGCTTTCCAAAGGGGCACAGAGTTCGAGATAAAGAAAAATCACTGATGATAACCAGGGAGAAGCCCGCCAACACTAGCGAACTGTCTAAGATTTTCAAATGATGGCAGCTCCTCCTCTAGGGTTAGCCCCTTCTTCCTCAGTTAGCACTCTGTCCCATCATCTTTTCCAGAAGTTAATATCAGAGTTCTAAACCAACACGCAGTCCATACTGTGTAAAACACTAGTCAAATGCGGGTTTCTCTCTCCTCTATAGAGCATTCGAGATGTGTGTGACAACCTTGGTTGAGAGCCAAATTAAAGATAATTTCAATTAATTTACCCCCAGAACAAAGGGACCATCATAGACGGCCCCATTAAAAATATCAGGAAGGGGCTCTTTCATCAGGCAAGCGTACTTTAAAGTGTAAGTACTAAACTGGAAGAAAAAAAATGATAAAATAAATGTGAGGGCTGGTGATGTAGATGAGGACATTTGCCACCACACCTGACAACTTGAGTTCGAGCCCTGGAACCTGCTTGGTGGACAGAGAGAACTGACTCCTGAAAGTCGCCGTAGAACCTTCATGTTTACTCTGTGGTGTGTTTGCATGTACACACACATGCATACGTGCGCGCACACACACACACACACAATAAATATCAACTCGGCTATTGTGACAGCTTTATCGTTTGGTTTTTAGTTTTTGGCTTTTCTAAACAGGGTTTCTTTGGGAAACAGTCTTGGCTGTCCTGGAACTCATTTTGTAGACCAGGCTGGCCTTGAACTCACAGAGATCCACCTGCCTTTGCCTCCTGAGTGCTGGGATTAAAGGTGTGCACCACCACCACCTGGTGATAGCATTCTTAAGACCTGTGCAAGACCAAGCACATAGAGGTAAATTGGGCTCAATCCCACCTAACTGAAGAACTCTGGGCAATTATTAGCTGCTGGGAAACAAAGTTTTCTCTAAGAGTACAGTACCTGGTACGCTGACCAGGTATAAATTCAATCCGTGGCCACTGGGCACGACTGGGGCTGGTCAGGGGCAAAGGGAAAGCATTTCTTGGTGTTTGAGACTCAAACGGAGGAAGGCTACAAATATGCTGGTGTGATATCCGTAACCTTCCCCTTCCCCTCGGGCTGCTGAGAGACTTGGAGTTTCCTCCCAATAGGACGGAACTGGAACAAAGCCCAAAGTATCCTCATCAAAGGCTTTGCAAGAAGCAGGCGCGAATCTGACGAGTTACACACAGAATCTGGTCAACCCCCAATCTCCATTCCAACCCCCTTCTGACCCAGCGGACCACTCGAGGATTCTGAGTCTGAGCCTGGTGGGCCTATACTCCGTCAGACTGGACCATGGCATATTAAACTGTGGCTTCCTGAAACGAGGGAAATGCCTCAATCAGTAAAAGGCTTGTCTTGCAGGAACGGGAACCTGACTTTGATCCCCAGAACTTGTGTAAAAATGTGGGGCATGGTAGTAGTAGAGCATGCTTGCCATCCTAGCCCTGGAGAGGGAGAGTCTGGAGTGTCCCTGGGCTTCATGGTTCAGCTACTCTAGCCTAATCAGCAAGTCCAGCCCAGTGAGAGAGACTGTTTCTTACAAGGTGGGCAGCTCCAGAAGAATGACATCTTAGGTAATCCTCCAGCCTCCACGTGTACAAGAGCACACGTGAATGTGCACTTTCTCTCTCAGGAGGGCGGTGAAGGCCATGATGAAGCAGCCGGAGGGACACCGTATGAGGAGAGGGTTGCGGGTTGCAAGGAAGCACGTGGGGTAGCGGTAATCCTGCACCAATGATGCCACTCTGCTGGCTCCCGCAGATGACGATGCCTCATTCTTGCCTCGTGTTTCCTGATTTGAACATCCCTTTGGTTGCTTACTGGTCAGAGCAGAACCTGTTACTCTGGTGACTGGTTCCCACTGAGGATGTATTGGCAGCGGGGGGGGGGGGGGGCTCTCCTGGAAGGAGGGGGGGGGGGGGGGGGGGGGGGGGGAAGCACCGTCTTTTCACCAAGGGGCTATGAGAACCACAGACTCATCTGTGATAATTTGGATAGGACAGCATTTAATACCCATTCAGAAATGTATTGGAATGTTACGCTTTTTAGGAAAATGTCAAGAAATACTTTTCCAGGGATGCGCTAGGAGAAGTCAGTCATACAAGGGGGCTCTTTCAACACTATTCATATATTTATTGGCTGATAAAATAAAATATAAGTCATTTTCCCTTGTCCTGGATTCTGTGCCTCTTCTTCACGTCGGCTAATCCAATGTGTGGGAGCTAAGGCCTGGAGATATTATTCAGTGGTAGCCTTGCTTGGCGGAATCTGTCGTAGCTTCCCTGACCACCGCTGCTGTCTCCTTGCCACGGAAGATTGCTTTAGAAATCCCGAAAGGTCAGACACAGTCTCTGAGATGCAGGCTGTTTGTCATGGAGATTCAACTGTAATGGTACTACTCTATTTGGGAACTCAGTGAAGGAAATCTTCAGTCACGTGTGTTCAGTTGGAGCCATTTCCTCGAGTCAGGACATGTGGAAAGAACTTCAAATCGTAGCCTACTTTGTTGGGAAATAGAAAAGGAAAACGGAGTTGGAGGCTCTTGCCAGAATGTCAGCCAAAAAAAAAAAAAAAAAAAAAAAAAAAAAA